CACTCCAATAGCCTTGATGGCAATCTAAACACCTGAAGAGGATGTCAGTTAGACAAACCCCCTGAAGTTGTACAACTGCACATTTTTAACTTCTCCAGTTTTCACTGAAAAGCAATGTGTTCCAGTTAGAGGATTTTTCCAAATAAGTAATTTCCTACATCAGCAAATCTAATTCCTACTATGATTTACAAATATTTCATTCTGACAAAGAATGTTAATTGTTCTTCTTCTGCCATTCCTGCTGTTCCACAACTGCTTGGTCTACACTACATGTACCTAAGATGTCAAGGCAGCTCTCTGCCTTCAGACTGATTCATGTGTAAGGCCACTATAGACTTCTACACTGCATGTTTTAAACTTTTTTCTTCTGCCTGCTGAAAGCCACATTCTCAACCCCTTTGCAATGTGACCTCTTGTTTACATGTAGTTTCCAGTGTGTTGGATGGTTTATTCTTTTTAAATCTTCACTTGTCAGTGTTCCAGTTTCTGAAACACGTTATTTTGCTCTATGGTGCAATGAGACCTTGAAGTCTCCAACTATTTATCTACATGCACCCTTCTCCACTACACCTTTCATCACAGGTGATTCCTATTAGAATTTTGAATTCTCTATGAGATCACATTAGTATTTCATTACTAGTAAGCATAATTTTTTTTTTGTTTCACTCTTGTTTTCTTAAAATCTCACATTTAACTTCTCATTGAGTCATACAACTTTCAGATGAAGCCACCAAGGATTTTTTGGCACTAACCTTGAGATGAAATAAACGTATTTCCAAACATTAAAGATTACAAGTTACTGATAGGTTCCAATGGACTGTGGATCTACTCCTGTGTCTCTTGAGTTAATGGGATTTTTACTTCTGGTCACGGCTGGGACTCCATCTGGCTTTCATTAACTGTAATGCTAGAAGCATTAAAAATTCAGAACAATAATTTCCGTTAAGTAATACACCGAAAGTGAACAAAGGTTTACCTACACTAATTACAGGGCAAGAATATATATATATATATATATATATATATATATATTTGTGTATAATGACTTGAAGATAAAGTCTTGACACACTTAATCTGCTCAAAATTAAAGGGACAGATTTATTAGTGCCACTAGAAATTGAAAATACCTATGTTTTAATGGAACTTATGGATTTATATCTTCCTAACTTTTATTCTGAGTTCTGTAAATAACAACAAAAATAATTTCAAGTGGCTCACATAACAAGACAGCATTAAAATATTCTGTTATGCATCTTAAAATGACAGAACAGAAAAAAATCACCACAAAAATTAATTTAAAAATGCTAAAATATCATCCCAGAAATCTCTGTGGTCTTAATTCCTAAAACTATTTCAGCATGTCTTTTAGCCCTTCCACAGAAAGCACAGCATTGTAGCACACAACTAATTATTGCCAAGAATGTCAGTAATAGAAGTGGATATGAAGGTTGAGATACAAGATACCAGAACATTGAAAGAACATCAACATCAACATAAACATCACATCAGCAGGCATGAACTCTGCTCAAGACTTTGGAACTACCAACCTGAACCATTCTCTCATCTTCTTCCTCTGTAAGTCTTTAGAGCATTTTACCCACTTGTCAGCTGAGACTGAGAACCACATTGTATAAAGTGATTTTTACATCTCTAAACAATTTTAAAAACCTACAACTTTAAAAAATGAATCTTTTTATGTGTTTTTTTATTCCTATATTTTACATGAGGATTCAAGTTCTGTGAAATTTCAAGACTTTATTCTGAAATAATCTGTCAATTTTTCATTCCAACTTCTACCTTCATGTATGGACTGGTCTGTTTATAACTATTGCCTTTAATCAGTTTTGTCATATTTTCAAATATACTTTCCACTTCCTGTTTTTTATTTCCCTGCTGGACAATAACATGTTCCTTCCCAGTTCTTTTTCCTATGAGGCAAACATACCAAGATCATCCAATCTCTTCTCATAAAAGTGATCCACCATTCCTCCCAACAACCATAATTCCAGTTTGAATTTAACCGTCTTAATATGGATGACCAGAATCTGCAAAAACTTCTCTGTATGCTCATAATACGTCTTTAGGGGGAGACACGCAGCTCAGCTGATTTATCTAAGGGCAGAGCTTGCCACTTTCTTGAAGTGTCTCTTGGATTTCTCAGACATATCCAGAAATCAGTGAGGGTATCTTGCTCCCTCTCCTCTGCCATTTCCTGCCATTGAGCTTATCAGAGAATTCCTCCTAGTTGCCCCTCCAAGTGACTGCCCTTGCACATTTTGCTATTGAATTACAGCTCTTTTCTGCTATTCCATTCCTCTAGGTAACACACATCTTCCTGCATTATGTTTCGATCTTCTCCATATTGACAAAACCTCCAATTTTGTCTCATTACCACACTGCCACTTTTTATGCCTTTGTCATTACTAAAGCTATTAAGGAAAGGTATGAGGGGAGGAAATAGTTACCAGAGGAAAAACCTGAGCACATAATTTACTGTGCCCACATGCATCTAACTACCTGTAGTGAAACAGAGTAGCTGTCTCCTATTTATCACAGCATACTGAGCAGCAAGTGTCTTGAGAGAAATAGGTACTGTGCTTAAGCTGCAAAAACACTCTTGCCCATGATGGTCATGACAATTGATTAGGTATCCTTAATCAGTCCCTAATGATCCCTCAAGAAACCACAGTAGCTCCTTCCAGCCTGATGATCCCCTTCAAGAAAGAGCCGTTGCATGATTATGTTGTCCTCATTCAGCTCTTTAGCTTTTTTCCTAAATTCTCTTCTAATCCCCATTCTCCCTATTGCAATTAGTAAATCCAGTGGAGCACTATGTGAGATGCCCTGCTGAAGTCCAAGCAGATTTGACTTACCCTACTTCTTAGATAAGTCAGTCAGAACCTGCAATTGCCCATATCCCAATTTCCTTTCTTAATATGGGTTTATACTTCCTACACTCTATCCATGCTCTCCACCTTGCAATTAATAAAAATAACAGCTATCAAACTCTTACTGTTTCATGTGTCATTGAAAATTAAGTTCATATTTACTCCTGATGCATAATGAAACTAAACTTTCCAGATTCTTATTTTACTTCAACTGTGGAGATTTCAGATTCTCTTCTTTTTCCTTTGGGTACCATGATTTTTATTGAATCTTGAACCTTGAAATATTTTTTATTACTGAATAATGATTCAATAATTAGCTCTTATTGAATAATTATTCATCTGTGTCCTTGGCAAAAAATAGGAAAACCAAAACATTTTGGGTCTGATCCATAGATAAATCTGAACCTCACCCCCCTGCAAAGAAGAATGGATTTCTTTCTGTTCTTTAGTTAGCTTTACTACCAATAGCTTTCTGCTTTTTCATAGAATCATAGAATACTATCATCTAGTCCAAACTTTCCTGGCCAACAAACAATCTAGACAACATGGCCCAGCATCCTATCCAGTGTTGGGGAACCCACCATTTCCTTAGGGAGATTATTCCAGTGGCTGATTGTTCTCATTGTGAAATATTTTCCCTTTTGTGTCCATCTAGAATCTCTGCACAATTAGAATCTCAGAATGTTTTGGGTTAGAAGGGACCTGAAAGATCATCCAGTTCCAAACCCACCTTGGCCAGGACACTTTCCACTACACCAGCTTCCTCAAAGCCACATCCAGCCTGGCCTTAAACATCCACAGCTTCTCCAGGGAATCTCTTCCAGTGCCTCACCACCCTCACAGTAAATAATTTCTTCCTAATATTTATGTTAAACTTACTGACAGCCACCACGTCCAGAAAGAACTGCACCAGGCAAACCTCTTATGTTTGGCTGGCTGTTTCAGCTGTGGCTGAAGTCTCCTTTAACAGCACAGCCCTACAGCTCCTGGCAACACTCAAGAAGCTGTTTGTCCATTCTGAATCTAAGTGTGATGATTACCATTATAACTGCCATGTGGAAAATAAGGTGTTTATTAGTCTTCTCAAAAACAAATTTATTCCAAATGTGCTATTTTGTGTGCTGTATTCTTTTTGAACAGTTTATTACACTGTTAGTATTTAAAGTCTTGCACTAACTTTATTTTTTTTCCATTTCCTTTGAGCAATTTTCCATCTACTCCTATGGATTGCCACATTCCAAGCTCAGGTTCTCTTTGACCAGGGTTCACATAAAAAGTTTCAGATTTCAGGTTTTCAGGTGAGTAAGAAATGTGCCCTGGCAGCCAGGAGTGCCAGCCTGGGGTGCATCAGGCACAGCATTGCCAGCTGAGCAAGGGAGGGGATTGTCCTGCTCTGCTCTGAACTGGGGCAGCCTCACCTCGAGTGTTGGGGGCAGTTTTGGTGACCACAACATAGAAAAGACATTGAACTATTAAGGAGTGTCCCAAGGAAGGCAGTGAAGATGGTGAAGGGCTTTGAGGGAAAGCCATGTGGGGAGTGGCTGAGGTGACTTGGCTTGTTCAGCTTGGCCAAGAAGAGAGCGAGAGGAGACCTCACTGCAGTCCTCAACATCTTCACAGGGGGAAGTGCAGGGACAGGCACTGATCCCTTCACTGTCATGACCAGTGACAGGACCTGAGGGAATGGCCTGAGTTTGTGTCAGGGGAGGTTTGGGTTGGATATCAGGAAAAAGTTCTTCATCCAGAGAGTGGCTGGGGACTGGAACAGGCTCCCTGGGTAAGTGGTCACAGCACCAAACCTAGAGAGTTCAAGCAGGGTTTGGACAACTCCTTCAGGCACTTGGTGTGATTCCTGGGGTGTCCTGCACAGAGCCAACAAGTTACACTCGATAATCCTTGTGGGTCCCTTTCAACTCAGGATATTCTGTGATTCTACATCTCCCTTATCTCTGGATTGTCTGCTTTCACAATCTGTATCAGGAAAATATATTTTTCAATTTATGGTCAAATATTTATTTCTCATAAAAGGCACACATTTTCATAGTCAAACAGACAATATACTGTATCCTTCCAGTTACTTAATCTGCTTAAATGCTCCTTTTCTTCTTAGTGTCCATTCTTTTACAACCCACCATTTCTTCATCGATGAATTCAAGAGACCTATATGCACATGAAAAGAGCTTTTATTTTTGAGCTGTAGACATGGCAGGAAGCTGTTGGGATTTTTTTTTCCTAGCTGGGATTGATCTACCAGCAAAATGGTTTTCTCATGTAACCATTCATCAAAGTATTTGCTGAAGAACTTTTGGTTTTGAATAAATTACCGCAACCCAATTTATTGTAAAACATCTCCACTTTTGATACTCAGTTCCATAGTCTGAAAAACAAATTCCTGTGATCAGAAGCTCTTTCTCTAAAGCCAGAATTTTTTTCCTCACATGAATAAGTTATTTGTCATTAGTATTGCCAGCAAACTAAATACATTAAAATAGCAGCTGAACATAAACAAGAAATAAAGTTTTAGTTGCAAAATTAAAAATATTGAAAATATTTACAAAAGCATTTTCTCAGATCTGATATTTTGTATTTATATCTTTTTGACCCAGCCAACATCCAGAGCACACTGATACTCAGAAAAAGTAATAAGAAAAAAGAAACAGCAGTAGCTAAAAATCCCAAGCATCTAGTCTTCAGGAGGAATGGTATTTTGAAGAAAAAGGCTGGAATTATAAACTATATTCTGTTTATTTTCTCTAAATGAATTGGACACATTTATAATAAAATAATGCAATTTTTTATCTGTTAAATTAATTTAGGTAAATTAATTATAAAACAATTATCTGAGGTTTTTATGTCATGCAGGAAGTGTCATTTATATGCCAGTTGTATGCAAAGAGAGAAAAGGTTGCCCTCTTAATTTATTTTAATGCATGCAACAGTGGAACACAATTTAATTGAAACAAAAGACAAGAGGATGAAAAGAATTTTTTTTCTTTTTTTTCCCCAGAAAAATCCAAAGCATTTGCATTCAAGGCCTTGAAGCATTTCCACATTATAAATTATATATTTATATGTAAATGGACTTCTGGCTTCTGTTCAGAATATTTGGCAAATTGAATGCTAGATTCTGCTGTCTTTATCTCCATTGAGTTGTGAACTATTCCCTGAATATTCCTATAGATTTCTAAAGCTTTGCATAACTTAAGCTACCATATGTAAGCTACATGTGAAGAGTTTTATGACAAAATGTGTGCATCTGTGAGCTTTCTACTCCCCATTTGAAAAATAGGGTCTCATACCTGCAAAGCTGAAGCAGTTGAACCTTGGGATCAAAACAAAAGGTTTAGACTCTTCTCTTAATATCAGAAAAATTTTCTCCATTGGCATCTCCTCCCTTCCATGTTGGCATGAGTTCATGATAGCTTAAAATCAGTCGTTTTTTAGGAAGAAATGGGAAAACAGAATAAAAGAAAAATCCTGTTGTACTTACAATAGTCCAGGGATTGACAAGGAATACCCTAATCACTGAGCAAAATCATGATCCCTCATACAAAGGAGACACAAGCAGGAGGGAAGAAAACTAATGCAGAGTATTCAACCAGGTCTTTGTTTTTCTTAGAAATCCCAGACTGAATCCAGGAAATCTTCTCTGAAGGAACCACTTCATATCTTCACAACTTGAAGGTCAATTAATTGTTTCCTGAGAAAATTATTTTGTCAGTGCAGTTCCTGAGGTGTTCCTAATTATGGGCTGTATTTCACAACCTTCCATAATGATCGTAGCACTCAATTCTGACTCCAGAAATTGACTTATCAAGTTAAAGGTGACTCATTAATAAGAGCTATAGCTTCAATACCAAGGAAGTGTAAGAAGACATATAGCAGAATACACTTTAACATACTTATTAAAAAAGGGAAAGTAATATATTACTGAATCTTTTATTGTTAGTGGACAAGAAGTCTGAGGAAATGACAATAATGTGGCAATATGAACAATAATGAACCTGATTGCTATTTTTAATAACTTACCTTTCCTAATTATTTCTTACCACAAATATTTAATAACATATTTATTTTGTTGATAATTGATGCATGTTTTCCTTATACTACTTCTCATGAAATTTTGTCGCTGTTTGGAAAAAAAAGAAAAAAAAAGAAAGAGAAAAATAAGGTTAGAAAACAATGGGATCTCCATCAAGAGATCCATCCAGAGTTTCTAAGGAAAAGCATTCCAGGTGAATGTTTGAACACAAAATGCCCCCTCCCCCCCCCCCCCCCCCCCCCCCCCCCAAGGCCTTTTTAAAGAGAACAATTCAGTGGTTTTCTCTTTGGAAAACATTTTAAGTACTGCAGTCAGAGACCTCATGCTGCCTTTTATTTGTCTGGGCTGGATTGTCTATCACTACATTTGTCTCCACCACACTACTGATAAAAAAGCAAAAGAATATTGTAGGATAGCATAGAAATATCCAAATAAGTTTAACAGTGGTATTAATTAAGCTTTATAGCATATTATCATGTACAGGATAGAGTCCCACACTCTTTCTGGAGCCTGGGCCACCTCAGCTCTGCCACCTCTACAGTACTTTGCGAGCTGAGCACCAAGTCCGCGGGAGCAAGAAGAGAGATGGAGGTACCAAGACATCATCTCCACCTAACAAGTTCTGATGTATGCCAAAAGTTGAAATTTTCCACGCCAAAGAAAAGAGATCTCCAGCAAAATTATTTCACAATTTGTTGATATAGATACAAAAATATGACACTAAATGATAGAGCTGATACTGCAACAATGATATGAGAAATGGGGAAAATGTTAGTTTGCTGTCACATAAAACTATTAAAGACAATATTTCACAAATACAAATCTGATAGAAAGTCTGTTGGTTTCCATATGTAGATTTTAGAACACTACTTTATAGAAAGCTTTGATCCAAAAAGCTACAAAACAAACATTCTTGGTTGGAGTCCCATAATATAATTTTACAGCAGAATTTAAGACAGTAGCTCTGCTTGTCAAAAGTTCCAAGGGAAAGGTGGAAGCTCCTGCTGATGACTTAAGATGAAAAATAAATTCTGATTTTAAAATAACATTTTTTATTTTGGAACAAGTATTTGCATACAAAATGGGGTTTGTCTCATTTGAGCAAAAAGCCTTTGCCTTGCAATAGAGAACAGGGGGTGGGCTGTGTCATGAAGCTCAGACAGTAAATCTGGAGCCATATTTTAGTACTGGGCTACCCACGAGCTCAGAGACACAGCTGATCTCCTTCAATCTGGAGTCCCTCCTGGAGTGTTAGTAAATAACTAACTGTTCCACTCAGGCAGGTGCTGTTACAAGGCAGATTATAATTACATCTACACTGTGGTTGCAAAATGAAAAACACAGTGCCTTGAAACCTTAAAATTCGAATGACTTCAGGTTCAACTAACTCTCTTTAAAATGTGGACTACAGCAAAACTAGAAAGCCCAATAAAACAAAGTATCACAGCCACCTAGTATAATTAAAGCGAGCCATGCAAAAGATTTACTGCTTAACTGGTATAATTCCCCCTGGATGGGAATACATCTGATCTGTAGCCAGCACTGCTACAAACACTGTTCCTCTCTCTGGAGTCCAAAATAAATACCTCTGTTGCATTTTGGGGGGTTACACTCTCCCGCAGGGCAGTAGGTCAGTGCCCTCTTCAGTGTGACACTAAACAGAAAAGGGGAAATAAGTGTCTATAAGAGTTTTGCTATTGACTTCATCTAAGCCAGGACTTCATTCCAAGTGTTTCACCCACTCTTAAATTTTAGTAACGCTTATCTTATCTATCCTAAGAAATTTACGTGGCAAAACAACATCTGACATGCATGTAAATCTAGAAACTTGGAATCCGGGGTGAAGGAAGACAAGTTCCCAAAAATTGGTTCCACATTCACTGAGATATGCTCAGCCTGCTATGGGAATCTCCAACATGTTAGTGCTGATCCTACCTTTCCTCAATATCAAGGGCAATGTCTCTTCAAATTTCTGCAGGAGAATGTGGCAACAGGCATGCAAAAATGAGTGAACTCTCCCTTTTTCTGCTATCCCTCCTAAATCACCTTTGTTTGCATAAAGGCAAAGTCTATTGAAATCAGTATACGCTTTTTCCTTTTGGATCAGGTCCATTATCTGTGTTTCTCCTGCTTCTTTCTCTTTTGGCTGAAATGTCACATCTCACTTAAGCATAGAAGGGTGGCCAACAGAAGAGATGGAGCCAGCTACAAGAGTGTCATGAGAATACATGAATGAGACATGTATATTCATAGAAAGATTCATTTTAAAACAGAGTAGCAGAGCGAAGACACATCAGTTGCTCTTGCACACTGATAATTTACACATTTTACACATTAGTACTTTGCTGTTCTACAGCAAAAATGTAGTTACTATAGCAACTGGTTTGTCATATGACCAGGATTCTATTTTTAATATCACTCAAAGGTACATATTAAGATGCATAATATACAGACTACTTATGGGGGCTGAAAACATATATATTAACATTTAAAACCTTAAAAAAGAGACAATCCTTGCTAATTGCTTTTACTATTTGCATTTTTTTTATTAGGCTACCTATCTAAAGACTCACAAAGAGTGATGGAATAAAACTGTCATTGCAGCTCCTAGTGAACTCATGCAGTTTTCTCCTTTGTGGCACAGGAGACCAGAGATATCTTGAGGTTCAGAGCTCCTGAGAGTTCCAGGGCACTGCCAAGGTCCAGATGGGTATTTCCAAGAGCTTTGGCTCCTGTACATCTTTACCACCAGCTTGTTGTCTTCTTTTCTACCTTTTTGGATCATGCTCCTGAGCAAGCTTATTTTTTGGATGACTTATGTTGAATGAATCAAGAAGATAACTTAAAGCATCAGTTTCTTTTCTCAGTCTGACATATAAATTGTTTCTGTAAAGATGTCATCCATCTGTAACAGACACAAATAAACCATCTCCCAGCATCAGAGAGCTCCTGGAGTCCCTTTCACAAGGTGTCTAGAATGACACCTTTCTCATTGCCGTTCAACAGAATTTATCAAATCATAGATTTTCAGTCCAGCGGTCAAAATGAGTGTAGAAAGGGATGTTTAGAGAAAAAATAATTTTAGAAAAGGGGTGGGAGTGGGTTGTACAATTTTTCTTCTTGTCTCATTTGACTTTAACACTGACAAATTTTTGTGGTGTGGGTGTGGGGAGGACTCTTACTGAATTTGAAACTCCCATTCTGGGACCAGAATACCCATATAATCATTTACTGGAGCAGCCAGGGAATATACTCGCAGCAGAGCTTCTCAAGTTGCACCACTTTACAGTTTGTTTTGGAGGCCAATGCAAAGCACTCCTATTGCTCTATTGAGCCTTAAACTACTTAAGATTGTAGCTGGTTAGGGAGGGGGAGGGCTCCCAATTCAAATTATTTCAACCTTTTTACTCCCTGTGGAGACTTAACATGCTGTCAGGCCTCCTCTGACTTCAGCTGACGGCAAACTTAGATGGTTTCTACTCCAATATAAGGTTTTAACCTTACAGATCCCTTAACACACAACTCCATCTATACCATGCCCTATAGCCTTCAGCAAAGTTGGCCACGTTGCAATTCTGAACTCTCAAAGGTAACCTTGAAGAATAACTCAGGTTCTTTCATGCTATGGGAGGCTTACAGGAATCAGTCTGCATGTCACTGACTTATGGGTAGCAGAGAGAGGCGACAGATGCAGAGCTGCCAGAAGTCAGGAAGGAGTACTTGTGATATTGCTCCTCCATGTCTGAGTCCAGAGAATTAGGTCAGTTCTCAACATCCTGCAGGAAAAAAGTGCATCTGTCTCTCAGCATGCTCATGTCATCCATGGAGCCTTCAGTTTGTGGTTGAAGATGCTGATGATATTCTCTGGTTGTGTGACTGTGTTGCCGCTTGTCTGTTGTGGCTACAGTTATTCTCACATTGACCCAAACTTGAGAACCAAAGGAAAGTGTCTCTCTCCTGGTGTCATATTGCTGCAACAAGTGGCTTCTAGGGTGCCCATCGGTACTTTTCACATGAAAAGACATGCAAACAGCCTATGCAAAGAGCCCAAATAAAATCATCCCCTTGCCTGACTTAAAAAGAATGGTCCAAAAGCCAGTATTTCAAATGGTTTGGGATTACAAGGAGCGTGCAGTTAAAGAAGGTTTGTCTATTCAGTAGCTAAATGGTTTTGACAAGTGAAAAAGACCTTGCATTAGATGGCAGCTCTGATATCTTGGCATGAGGAATTTGTATGCAATTATTTGTGCAGGAGAGAATCATGAAGAACGCCTTATATAAATCCCAGTAAATAAATCAAAACTGCTATCGCATGCAGCTCTGTTTCCATTACTTTGCTATTATCATGGTATACAACAGAAAGCTCCATTATCTATTTACATCAACACTCTCACAGGCCAGAATGCTTTTTTGCTTTCTGTTGCCATTATTGTTGTATTATGTGTGGCAATGCCATAGCAACCCAAGATAACACAAGTAGTGTAGGGCAACAGTGTAATATTTTCTGGCTTTTGTTTTGAATGAAACAGAACACAGCTACCCACTCTATGCAAGCTATACACAAATACCAAAGATTTAGCAAAATAAGTAGCAATTAGCAAACCAACAGTACTTACTGCAAGCCAGCATTTGTCTCCCTTGTGTTCTAAAGGCTTTAAATCCCTGGAGGGTATCCTTACAGCATCTCAAAGGACTGAGCAACACACATAGCAGTGTAGTTCTAGTGCACACAGGTTTGGTGTATGTCACTACCCACTGAAACATGTTTGATCTAATTGAACATACCTATGAGACATTTAGGCATCCATGTTGTGTCTGTCCCATCTGAACTGTGTCAGGTCTTGAATTAATAGGCTAAAGGCTGAGGAGACCTTAGGATATGTTTATTTGGCAACCACCACAGCACTGTTTGTAATAGAACTTGTTGAGAATAAATAATCAATATATGCAGGCAGAGTGAAATGACATTTTTAGTCTCCTGAGACAATGAGTTCAGAGTGCCTTCTCTGAAACATGCACTGATTACTATGCCATGACCTTGTGTGAATAATGTGTTTGGGCAATCAGGCACAGGAAAGTATAGAGAGTATGATCAGCCAAAGTACCAAACATCTCCTGCTTGTTTAGCTTGTGCCCTGAAATCTCTCTCATACCCTGGGGATGATTTAATCAGAACTCAGCTT